CTTGAGTGGCTCCTCATCATAAGCACCTGACCCACCCGAGGGTCCTTTATTGCTCCTGCAGAGTCGACTTATTCTTGTTTCCAACAAACTCTGAATGTAGTTTCTGAGACATGTTTTGACTGAGTGATTTTCTTTGTAATTCGACTCCTCTACCACTGAGTTAATTTTTCATAGTCAAGCAGCCACGTAAACAGTTCTGATCTCAGATATGTTTCAAATCAAGCAGTGTTGTTTTTCCCCTCCATTTCTACAGACCGCAGAACTTTGTAAGCCTTTGTTGTTATTTTTGCACAAGCGTAGCCTGCATACACCACTGTGTGAACAATGAAAAGAGGAGCTGCAAAAGCCTTAATGTATATTCATTGTTCTGCACACAGTGCTCAGATCATCTTGGCACGTGATGGTGGGTGTAGAGGGAGCGGCTGGGTATGATTGGGTTAACCCTGTCTGCTCCAGTGGTTTATGCTGATGAGGGACGCAGTCATTTTAGTATTACCCAAAATCCCATGGATGGTTGTCTGCTGGCTCCTGGTTGGTTACAGGTCATAGTCTGTTGTAAACATGCAACCAAATTACAGGATTGTGCTGAGCCCTGCCACTGGAGTTAGTGGTGTCCCTCTCATTTCATGTTGCCAAGCTGACTGTGCCACTAAGCCAGCGCTGAAGTGAGGTAGCTCCAGCTAGTTTTACTTTCCCTGCCTGAGCTGTTTGCTTGTAAAAGTCCACGCAGGTTTAGCGTGGCCCTTGTTTTTGTTCTGAGCTCTGTAAAAGATATTTCCTGTTCTGGTTCTCACTGTGCAGGCAGAGCAAAGTCAACTTCAAGGTGATCTCTGATGTATCCACAGGAACTGTATTTTTTCTCCTCCTCACCCTGTAGAGCTATTTACTCTAGCTCTCTCATGGCAGGCTCACATGTAGGTTTCAGCTGTACACTGTGTGAGTTTGGCCCATGCCTGAGGACACACCAGGAATGTTATCTGCTCTCGTTTGAAATGCTGGTAGCTGTTGTTGGAGCAGGTGACTGAGTTGAGTACCTGCGCCGCTGCTCACGTCAAAAAAGAGATTTGATCTCGCCTTTGCAGACAGCATCCCTTACACCAGGGAGACGAACTCAGATTCCATTTCTCTCGCAGAAACCGAGGAGCCAGAGATTCTTAGATATGAATGAGAGAAGGATGGTGGGAGAGGAGCAGAGATGAGCTGTTTATTTACTGACCCAGTGGCCTCGGAGAGAACAGTTATATAACAAGAGTACCTGTGACATAATCGCATCGCCTTGGAGGGGGGACACTAGTGCTTAGTAGAGATACAGTTTGCGTGCATGATGTAACTCACTTTACGGGGAACTGGGTCACTGTGTTCGTTAGGGAAAAGCTTCCCTCATTACCCCCCCGCGCCCTCTGCAACTGACACATTCTGAGAAAGACAAACCACACCCTGGACGCTGCCAGAGATGGGCGAACCAATCGGTGGGGCCTGGCGTCACAATCGCCACGGCTCCCCGCTGTGACAGCACTGGAACTAGATGGGAATAAGAGTAGCTTGCAGCATTTCGGCTTTCAGCAGAGATGCTGAGTAATATCTGCAGTCTGTTCTATAATATCTTGGAGAGTGGCATCCCATAACACAGAGGGTAATAACCCCTATCATCATTTCCACTCAGAATCAAAGCGTTTGCTCCCTAAACCTCCTCATTGTTAGCAGAAAATTAGTTTTTACTGCCCTCGTGAAAATCCCAATCCTCGTGTTATGAAAGAAGCACAATTAATTGGGGCATTGCATGTTTTTTTTCTTTATGTAAGTGAACCTTTCAAGGCTAACATTAAAGCAGCAGGATTGTTGATGCATATTCATATCTTTGACCTAAATGCCAAAAGCAGTTTAGCGGGAGGTGAAAATGGCCAGTGTATCTGTTAATTCTGCATTTTCTAAGAAGTCACGGAGCTCTAAATAATTTGATGCGACTCGCTGAGTTGCTGTTGGATACCTGATGCTTCCACTATGACTGCATTACTGTATCATGGCAGTTAGACTGGATATCTCAGCCTAGCTCTCTGGTGTCTGGTTAAATATTAATATAGTTGGATCCGTTACACTGGTTATTGAGCCTTAAGCAGCCCGCAGAGCTTAGCTCTAGTTTTTAGCCAATAATTCATTTTGCAGTGCCAGGTGGTGGCACAGGCTGCTTCTCTTGCTAATAAGGTATGAAATCAGACTATCATGAGTCTCTTCAATGAGATTAGTGTCTTAAAAGTTAAACTGCCTCCTTTTCTCCAGGGTTTAATCCAGGATGTGTAAATAGGGTCAAACAACCAAGGACTTGTCTTTTTTATGAATTGAAACTTGTGTGGGGCAGATGGATCATCTCTTTGTGTGTTAACTCCTGCAGCAGAGGGAGAGCAGTATAGATGTTTTGAAAAGAAGAAGTCAAGGCTGTGTGCATATGCAAATTCTATATGTCAGTTACAGAGTTTACATACACAGAGCCCGCAGGAGCTGCAGCAGGGCAGGGCTGACTGAGTTTGTCTGGAGCTGAGGTGAGGCGTCAGAGGCAGGAACACAGACCGGGCTGTCTAGACTTGCTCTGTCTGTCTGCATGTTTTGTAACCATGCAGTATAGGGGGGAGGGACCGAGACTAGTAGTGCACTGAGTTCTTGTTTTTTGAGACTCACTGGCATCAGGTAGCATATGAGTGTTTGATGCTGAACAGCACTGTTTCCATTGTGGCCCTGAGGGAAACCACAGAACAAAGAAAGTGTTTGGCAGGCCTGTTCTTATGCACTCATTTGTCATGCCACCTATAAACATTCACGCATTGCACTGTCTATTTCTTTTCATACCTCCCTGGCATAGGCGTGCACATGATGATTGAACATTCTCAGGAAAGCACTATAACATTAAAAGACGTGGCGCCCTTCGCTATAGTACTGCAAGGTCACGCTGGTAAAATTAGAATGCTGGATGTGGCTATTGTCAGGCAGAAACTCACTGAAATGGAACTAAATAGAATACAGTATTAGACATATTGGCCAGTGGACGCAGAACGCTGCTTCATGCAGGCTCCATGCGCACTGTTTCCACATCAGAATGGAAGGAAACCACAAGATATATAGTACCATCTGGCTTTGAGTAGATTTGTGTCAAAGCCCACTTTTATTGCCTGATGGAGGGGGGGAAGGGTGTAATTTCCCATGTGCCGAGTCACAGATAGTTGCATGTTGGAAAATGGGCTGGGTAACCATTGTGAGTGTGATTAGCATCTGGAGCTTAGATAATTAAACTGTGTCTGCTCCTCTAGCACAGCGCCAATTTTTAGGTGATTTACCCCAAGTCCCATGTCTCACTATGGCCCTTTTTTTTGTCCCACTGTTTTCTTTTCTAATATTTTAAAGATGTCTTGGGTAGTTATGAGATTCCTCCCTTCACTGACGTATCAGACCGAGCAATAACCTTGCAATCATTATTCCTTGATGACTCAGAGTCTTCTTTACACAGAAAACTACACAGTCTTGTTCATCAGGCCTGAAAAATGTCTGTTGGCTGTGCGCGTCAGTCTTCATGACTTGTTAACCTGTAAACACCTCTGTAATGACTCACTGCTCTGACTGTGGCGAGCTATTTGGATCACAGTGAGCACCAAGGTGCATAAGTTTTTTTGGTCTCATGATATACTCACACTAAACCCTATCAGTTCCTCTGAGAAGGCCTATTGTATATACGTGACTGTAAACGTCCTGCAACCTAAATCACTTTAGGGTGGATTTTGCATGTCTTGGACCATTTACTACAAATCACACATACACACATACTTTGCATTCCTGCCCACCATTCCCCCAAGAAATCTTTTTTTCAACTTGTACTCCAACCTTATAGCAGCCATAAGCTCCAATTCATCTCAGCACAGTGTTACAGTCAACTCGCAGAGACTTAGAGTAACTTTGAGATTATAGTGCACATGATGTTTTTGTTTCTGTCAGAGTTACACTGTTACACGTACGTTAAAATGTGGATGGATTTGAAAAGCCTGCACTGCAAAACCACACAACACAAGTGCCCTCCCAGTCATGCAACTTTGGCAAAAATTAGAGCAGACACGATGCTCACTGAGTCACCTCATAGTAGCCACCTTACGGCAGGTTTCACAACTTTGCAAGTAGATTTTGATATCAGACTGACATAAGAGGGAAACCGCAAGCTGCATGGAGGGTACCACTAGTGTGGTGTATTTTTTTTTTTAAAAGGTCAATGGTACATTGGCTAAAATCAGCATATAATCAAATATGGCTCATATGATATTTAAAGAATTTGTGCCTCACGAATGACAGAACATACTGTACTTAACGCTTAGTTAAGTTCACTTGGTTTCACACAGTTCAGAACACCTGGGGGAAGTTCCTGTATTGGAAAGTCCTGTGTTTTGCCTCCTTATGCGGACTACTTCCTTCTTTACTCCCGTTAGATTAGCGCTTTGGTCACGTGATTGCAGCCTATTTTATTACATGGGGTATGAATAACTGGCTCGTGATTACATTACAAACAAATTGTGGTAGGCAGCATGGTTGTGCGGTGGTTAGCATTGTCGCCTCACAGCAAGAGGGTTCCTGGAGTGGGGATGCCCCTCTGTGGAGCTTGCATGTTCTCCCTGTGTCAGTGTGGGTTTTCTCCAGGTACTCCAGCTTCCTCCCACAGTCCAAAGACATGCAGGTTAACTGGTGACTCTAAATTGGCCTTAGATGTGAACGTGAGTGTAAATGTTTGTCTCTATGTGTCAACCCTGCGATAGTCTGGCGACCTGTCCAGGGTGTACCCGCCTCTTACCCAATGTCAGCTAGGATGGGCTCCAGCCTCCCAATGAGCCCTAACAGGATATGCAGTCATGGAAAAAAAATGAATGAACAAACTGTGGTGCATTAAAAGAGCCTGACTAAAACATACAAACATATTGCTATCCTCTCATGTGATTCAACACTGACCTCTGCCCTCCCTCTGTGTGTTCCAGGAGAACGGCCTTTCCCATGTACCTGGCCCGACTGCAGTAAGAAGTTCGCCCGCTCCGACGAGCTGGCCCGCCACTATCGCACCCACACGGGGGAGAAGAAGTTCGGGTGCCCGCTTTGCGACAAGCGTTTCATGCGCAGCGACCACCTCATGAAGCACGCCCGGCGCCACTCAGATTTCCAGCCCGGCATGCTGAAGAGGCCCCACGGCGGCAGCGGCGGCAGCACCACACGTCCCAGCTCCCTCAGCGACTACAGCCGCTCGGATGCCTCCAGCCCCACCCTCAGCCCCGCCCTCAGCCCAGCCAACTCGCCTTAAACTGAAACCCAGTCGCACTTTCTGCCTCTGACCTGCGAGGCCTATGTTTTTGTCATTACACTTGTGTTGCACAGTTGTCAGCAACCCCCCCTCCTTTGCTATTGCTGCGCTTGCTGTGGTGTACCATACTGTACATAACTGCTTATTGTAGTGCAATTACTTGTGTGATCCTAAAAGAAGGTAATGCCTTTCCCAGATGGCAATATTTACATTCTGTACCATATGTCTGTATTTTTTTAGCTTCTGATCATGGCTAGTTGTCCAATGTACGTTTGCAGTCAGCTAAACAAGGTTTAGAAGAAAAAAAACAGACACCCTGACAAGTCTTATCAAAAATGGGTTTTTTCGTTGTTGTTTTTTGAACAGGTGAGGAGAAGGGGTACACACACACACACACACACCTCAGGATTGAAGACAGTTGCTATTTCTGTAATACCACAGTACTTCACAGTACTCTCATTGACTGCACAATATACTCATCACTTTACTCTGAAATTCAACAGGGGTTGAATTTTACGCCCTGCTCAGGGATGGCCTTGTTAGCTTGAAAGAATGAACATGGTGAAGAGAAACATACAGTACATATATAGCAGCCTTACACTCAACACAATTTGCACTCTTTGTTTTTTTGTTGGTTTTCATGTTTTTTCGAGGAAACTAGCCCTACGGTCAACACGGTCAAACGTACGCAGAACTCATGTGTTCTCGGGGGGTTCATATGTAATGTAATTGCTGTCTTTTAACAATACAATCCCCAAACCTCCACCTCAGTAAACAAAATACACCTGCTCCTCCACCGCAGCGTTAATATTCGGTTGCCAATACACTGGGTTAAATGCGGCTTTCATTAAACAGCGGTGTGCAGTGTATACTTTGTAAATCTGCATTGCGGGAGGATCAGGATTATATTTGGGTTTTATAAGTATACTCTTTAAATAGAGACAGTTTCAAAGCAGCTGTTCATGCTTTTCTTTCTCAAAGCGCTGTATCATCAGCTAGTATTTCACACAAAATAGTCACAAAGGGACTTCAGTTGAAACAATGTTTATCCCTCTCTGAAGCACATAGGAAAAAGTACCAAAGACAAGAGTGAATGAAAGCTTTCTATTCAGTCTTGTAAGCCGCCCTTCATTGAGGCCTGGGGCTGGTGGTTGGCAGTATCGCAGGTAGAACCAGACAGCCTGCTCACTTTCCTCCTCCTGGCTCTGCCTTTTGTGGCCTCTTTCGAGGAAACAGCTGCATCCCACAAGAAGCTATTCACAGCCCGCAGGAGGAGTGCTAACATGCCATTCCTGGGGAATCCTCCCTCACCCATCTGGCTCTACCTGTCCTGTCTCTCCGACTCTGCCGAATTGCATAAGGTGGCCTAACTCGGGGGAGGTCAAACGCAGGCCAGAGAGTTGGGCCGAGCCGGGCTGAGCTGTGACGTGGTGGAGCGCGGAGGGAACAAAGCGGCTATCTGCTATAGACAGGCAAGAGAGGGCAGGTCCTGATAAAAGAGGAGAGGTTTATCATGAGCTGAGCAGCACAGAGGAGGAGACACCCAGTCGCAGACACCCCCCATCTCCTCCTCTTTTCCCCAACTCCCTTCCTCCCTCCAACTGTAGAAACCGTGAGCGGATAAATGGCTGTAATTAGCGGGTTGATCCAACCTGTAGGATAAGAGTAGAAAGAAGTGTATGAACAACAGTACTACCTAGATGACGCTAGCAGCGTGGGTGGGATGTACCCAGCTCCATCCTAAGCACAGGGAGAAATCCTCTATGACTGCTGGGGAGTCAGATTTCACAATGCCAAGGAAAACGTCGCTCCAAATTCCCACTGATAGATCCAGAGCTCTCAAACAGCTGCTTTCAAACTTCTCTCTCTGGCAACAGGGGGCGGGGGGGCTTTTAAACTGTTGTAAAAACATTTGAACCAAAACGAACATATCAGCAAAGTGCAGTGCTCACCAGCCTCACGTCGTCCTCCCTGTGAAGCTCAGATGTCCCGTGAGAAAGCTGACTTGTGTTTCTAGACAGACATGCCTCAATAAGTCAGGCAAAAGGCACAGTAAACCTTCCATGGAAGCGGGCACCACTATCAAAACTGCTGCAGCCCCGCCAGTCTGTGTTATGCCTACATTTTCTTTTAATGCTTCAGCACTATACGGCCGGAAATAGTCTCATCCATGTATTTTGGTCCTGTCAGACCCCTCCAGACTGTTGTCATCATGAATTGCATGTGCTCGCTTCATTCTACCGACCGCTCTCGCCCCTGCAGTCCCGTGCTTCACACTATATGCATGTCAATAACTGCGCCTTGGAAGCGCAGAGGGGTTTTTGAGGCGGTCTGGCAGGTGTAAGATCATGAATGGCTGGCCTTGTCCCTCGTTCTGCACAGCAGCCATCTCTCTTTAAAGTTGTGAAGAATCAGCTCCGTCACATCCTCCAGAAAGAAAACATCCCTTATTTAGATCGAATGCAGTAGTTTCCTCAAAACACCACATGTTGAAGAAGAAAAAAAAACAACCCTCTGTAAGATGTTAAAATAGTTTCCAGGCTGCAAGATGACACTTTGAATGCCACTGATCAGCAGCTCTTTGTGAAAGAAGCACTGAGAGGGTTTTACATTTACCATTTCTGGAAGGAAGAAATTTCCACAAACAAACTCTTCAAAAAGCTGTTGAGCAGCTTTTTGCAGTGTCCATCTATCCATTTTTTTTTTTTTTTTTTTTTTTTTTTGTTATAGTCAGTTTTTGACTTTTTTGGTTTGTAGTGTAACGTTCTCTTGCAAAGAAACATTTCTGAGAAGCTCACCCTCAAGCAGGTTTCACAAATCACTTCTTAATCCATAATCTGCACATATACCTCAGGGTCGACATCCGCAAAGCAGATACGGGACAGTTTGTGGATTTTGTTGTAACATCAGTTGCTGCACAGAAATGTCTGCCAGCCTCCCCCCTACCCCCACATCGGTGTTCCTGGGTGCTTTGTGCTCACTGCTGGTCAGTGTCCGACCACACTGGAAACACAGGAACGCCTCCGTACGGGGCCCCAGCTCCTGCCTATAATGTCTTCATTACACCCTACAGTCCTGCTACGCGCCTTAGTAAGCACTGGGCACTCTGGAGCTCTTTTCAGTGAAACGCCCCTTTAAACACCTTTGACCCTTAGTGTCAGTGGACTTACAGTAGGCAACAGGAAGCTGAAAACAAAGCGACTGTGACAGTGTAAACATCCCAGTCCATCCAACCAGACTGCACCGCTGACATATAGGCCTCCACAGGCATGAGTGTCTCATAACTTTTACTCTCACTGTACCAAATCTACTTGAATAATTCAACACAAAAGGCCATTGAACACAGTTTTGTACATGTCCATTTTTACTGTACTTGCTTTTGTTGTCAAATAATTATTAACCTCTCTGGAGAAAGGTGTATAGTCTGTTTGATTTATGTTGTTTTTTTTTCTAGATTTTCCATTGTCTTCAGGTCATTTCAGCAACTCTTTCGAATTTATCACAGCATTAAGGTTGACTGTTTTTGTCGGGCTGTTTAAAGGCACCATATTTTGTTTATAGAATGATGATTTTTATCCCTGTTAACAGGGCTCACCCCTTTAATTAGACACATCTACTACTCTGTTGATGTCAGGATGCAGGTTATTCCAGTTAGCCTGTCATCCAAAAAGATTTTCTCCAAGTCAGAAAAAGGATTGTTCGGGGTGACGATAAGAAAAGGAAACCTCCTGACCTCTATGTTTGACAATTTCAGACGAAGTGGCTAATTTTCTTTATTATTTAGATTCTTTTGAACGTTTTCCATAAGAATAGAGACCATGGCATTGTGAGTTAGCAATGTAGTCATAATTTTATTATTGCTTTTTTTTCTGTCTTATATAAAATGCTTGTATATTTTTCAAAAATCATACCTCTGGAAATATTTTTGACTTTCTGTTGTACCTTCATATCTTTTCAAGACATCCATCATGTAGCTTACGTTTGCTTGATGAGTAGCACAAATAATCAGTGGTTTTATTTGTTTCTACTTGAATGAAGAAGGCAAGAAAGACTTTTTTCTCTGTAAAAACAAACAAACAAACAAAAAAAAAAACACTGGGCTACATTTTTATATAATCATCCCATGTCGTCAGGGTCCTGCACATCCTTGTAGATTCAAGAAGTAATCTTTCCAGGAAATAATAAAACCTTTTTTTTTTTTTTAATTATTATTATTTTATGTTACAAAAAATATTTAAAACACCCCTCCTCTACTGAGCTCCGTATTTGTCTTAGTTCAACATTTTCTATGTGAGGGATGATGTCAGCTGTAAATGACTATGAAACTTCAGCATTTTTTAATCCAACTTTACTATTGTAATCCCGGTGAGATTACAGCTTTCGACATCTGTCGGAGAAAAAAAAAGGACTTTAAATAATGACAAAATGGAAAATACAAGGTTCTACGAGATGCTAACAGTGTACCAGTTAATATTTTTTTCTTTCTAATTGTAAAAATATATTAAAGTGAATTGGTTGCTGCCTAGTATGTAAAGAACTAACAATAATCTTATTTAAAAAAAATTCATATTAATGACATGAATATATCACTGATCAGACCGTACAAGCATGATCGATGCAATTGTGTGCCAAAACTATAATGGTAACTTCATAAAGATACAAAAGTTGAGGGTGAAAAAAAAAAGCTACTATCAGACATTTAACAAACTTGTACAGTTTTATAAAGTGTGATATGTTTTTATGTAATGTACAGGATTTAATGAAGCAACTCCGCATATTTGATATGCAAGTGCTCTAAATTAAATATTTCTTTTCTTGCTTTATGTAAACTTTTTTTTTTTTTTTGATTGTGTAGCTTTTCATTTGGTTCTTGTTATTTAATTTTTACTTCTTTTTTTTGCTGTACAATACTCAAGCAATGTATAATGGCTTATTACAGGTATTTTTTTGGACATAAACAATCTTAATGATGACAAACGCCCAACCATTCCAAAGGATTGAGAATTGCATTTGCTATAAATGTGCTGCTTACATGGACCCGATGCATTTTTGTAGGTTATGAATAGAAGTCTGTCTTGACTGTGAGGTTTTACACGTTGTGAGTTGTGCACAAGGTACGTTTCTCATTGTCAGCATTTCCCAGGTTAAATCTCTCCTTTCTCCCGCCGCAGGCTCCACGTGTAGGTTAAGCCAATTCGAATGAACAATGTACATGCAATATTTTTAAAGTATTATATGATATTTAAAAGTTGAAAGCATGTCTTCCCTCATGACGAAGGCCTGAGGCTTGCGGGGATAATGTTTTTAGAGGCAGCCATGACAGGAGAGAGTGGTTCTCGAGCAATGAGAAGGAGCTCATCAGAAGCTCCACAGTTACAAGTTGTTACCAAAGGCTTTGAAGGGAAAGATGAATGTTGCAGTAATGTTGAACTCAACACAGTTTGGGTTCAACGTTACGTGCTGTAAGTGTTGATCAATGGATGTTGTGCTTGCTATGGACCTTTTTTCTACATCTCGAATAAGCAACTTTTTCTTATTTTGAAAATCACTTGAATAAACAAAACCTGTTTAATCATACGAGCAAACTAATTCTGGCCGGGTAAAAAGAAACAAAAGAGACGGAGTGAGCAGGAACATGCAGCGTAGCGGACCACATCTGTCTGTACCCTTCACTGACCATGTGGTCTTGCTTGGCTGCCTGAGCTGACACTGTGCGGTATTGGCTCTTGACTGTCGAAATGCACGCTGACAAAAACTCTTTTGGATGTTTTTGCCCTTAAAGGATTAGCCTGCTCCAGGTTACGCAGCACACACTGCTGTGCTGCTCCCTTTAATTACAAAGAGAGAGCCTCTCACCAGCCTTTTGGTTCTGTTCCCCGTACCTGTTTGTCCTCAGTGTACCTCCTCAGTGTAATGTTGCTCTCTTGATACCTCTGTGTGTTTCTCCTCTGCCCATCACCATCAGTTGCCTGTTGTAGTGACTCCATGGTGCTGCTTCCCCTCTCAGCACCAGTATAATCTAATCTGTAAATAACTCTCGACTCAGCTATGGCCAGTACATTCTCTTATGACCTCACTCTAACCCTCAGATGTCGTTTTGTTTTTATCTCTCAGCAAACCAAAATCACTACATTCAAGTATTACAGTTGTACAGTTCCTCGGATTCTACACACATTCAATGTGCTGGTCTTAGCTGCTCTGCTGTACCTTTTTATGGCATTATTTTTTACATGTTAGACAATATATTGTGACCATGTCCTATGCAAATATGAAAAATAACAGATTGTTGAATAATGTATGTTGTCATAACTTGTATGCATGAAATAGTGAAGTTTACATTTGGAAATAAATTCATAAAATAAGCAGCTACAATCATGTTTGTGCTCATTTCCTTTTCTGTTGCCGTACAGTGGCCACTGTGGACACAATTATGGGATAATGATAAATGCTAAGAAATAAGCTAGAAGTATAAGAAGAAAATTTTGTGAGTTAGGTAAACACAAAACACACTGATTGGTTGATTTTAAAAGTGCCAGTTGGCAGATTTTCTTACCTTTGGGCCAAAGCATGCGAGTGGGGAATACGAGTGGAATCATTTTGGATGGAGTGCAGAGTGGATTTTTTAAAAAGGCTGAAGTATTGCCTTTTGTCATGCTCCATTCTGCTCCAGTTTCACTCCGGTACCGCTCACACCATGAGTTACAAGCACGCCCAACCAAAAATTCATCCACGTATTATGGGCACACTATTTTCTGTCAAAAATGGGCTGTTGTGAGCTTGACATGAAGTTCACAAAGTACTTTCAAAAGGAAACTGAGAGGTCATGCAAGCTAAAACTAAAATACAGTGCAGCTTTTTCCTTTTTTGTAACGAGCGGTGAGCTATTTGGTGTGTCCTGGAGCTTCTTTGAGAGGGGGAGCGTAGGGAGCAAACAGCTCCTAGAGCAAGGAGCAGAAATTCTCTCTGCTCCACTACACTAACATGCTCTGCTTTGGACAGATTTGGACAGATTTATGCTAAGCTAAGCTAACCAACTGCTATCTGTAGGCTAGCCTTATATTTACCCTACAGATATTGGAGTGGTATCAGTGTTCTCAACTTACCCTCGGCAATAAGCAAACCCCAACATGTCAAAGTATTCTTTTCAGTCAGGGAACTGGCTCAGTGATTTTAGATGAAAGCTAACATTAGCCACCATAAGCTAACAGTCGTACCAAGTGAAGCTGTAGAGTTTGTTTTTATTCATGCATTCATTATTCGTAATAGCTTATCCTGTTAAGGGTCAGGTCGCCAGACTATCACAGGGCGTATACATACACCTTTTTCTACAAAGAGATTGCGCTATAGGGCCGCTATGAAGTCCCTTCTTTATGCCTCCTTTGCATTCTGACACAGAACCAAACAACGATGACATCATACCGCTCCAGTGTGTGATTATAGACTGCAAATTTCCAGCATGCCGCAATCATAAGAGCAGTGACTGGTGTCACATGTAATTCAACAGCCTCGACCTGTAGTGAGACATAAAACGTGCGTCAGTAGTGCCTTCTAAACAATAGCATCAATGGCATCAACGTGTCAATAACAATCATTTACTGTCTCTGTTATTTGGCAGCTGATCCTCTGTTCGGGTGGTAAGGAATTCCCATACCTCATTATTTTCCCAATTTGCAGACATTTACGACTGCTTCTTCTTTGAGTAAGCTGCTAACTGCTAGCAGCTACTTTTTAAAAGTCCCACAATCGGTCGCACATCATATACAAAACATCACATCTGTGCCGCCCATGATCCCGTTGTGCCCAGCTGTCTTGTTTATACGGATACCGTTTAAGTGCTTCTACTACCTCACCTCCTTAAAGGTGAGTCAACTCTACCCCCCTATTCTGTGATCATACGTTATGTACAGAACGGTGAGGCGGCATAACAACACACTATATCCCTGCCCTGACAGGTAGTATAAAAGGGGCTATACAGACAGACAACTATTCAGACTCACCTCACACCTACGGGCAATTTAGAGTCACCAGTTAACGTAACCTGCATGTCATTGGACTGTGAATGTGAAGTTGGAGAACCCGGAGGAACCCACGCTGACATGGGGAGAACATGTAAACTCCACACAGAAGGACTGAAGCCTTTTACTGCTCATAAATTATAAAGCATTTTAATTGTAAGAGGAAACAGTTCTGGGGGCGGTGGGGTGGTGCGCAGGGAGATGCAAAGGACATATCCCCCACGCTGTTTATAAAATGTGCATTTGTCCCCCTTAATTAAAACATAAAAGTGGCAGAGGACTTTTCTTTTGGCAAAATTAAATACATTTACACCATAAAATGGTGCAGAAAATGCACAAACTGGTGCATAAAATTTCACCAGAAAGCAGGAAATTAAAAATTTGGCAGAGTGCCCCCAAACGAAAGCTACACCCTTGAGAGGAAGAAGTGTTTTTCTCTTTTTAAATGCTGCTCTTTAATGTCAGATTTAGAGTTCTCCTCTAAGGAAGTTCCTCGTTTATGATTATGAAGTATTTCAAACAAAATTACAGCAGAGAACTGCAGAAATGGGTGGAGTGATGTTCCTCAGTTAGACAGCCTTTCCTCACCAGCGTGCCATGTGCTTCAGTATTATTCTTGCAACAGGAAGTACACCTTGTTCCCTCATCTCACCCATGCAAATATTTACAGTAACTGCTGGGGTATCAACAATGGGTGGGGCACCGAATGCTGGGGACTCCTTCCTTCTTTATTGTATTTCAGGCCAAATAGACTGATAAATGGTGAGAAGTTTCCTGTACATACCCCAGTGCACTCGCAACTTCAGAAGAATGGATGATTCACTACAATCTGCAGCCTCCCCCAGAGCAAAGTGCACTTTTAACTGCGCATGACTCACAAAAAGCAGAGTTTCCCACTCCATCTGCATTTGCTGCTCTGCAAAAACACCGCCAACATGCCTTTATCCCTCTCTTAAGCCGAGGGTGCCCACCACCGACACCAGCAGAGAGCGCAGGCGTGGCCTCTCCCGCTCCACAATGAATCATGCAATGTGGAACAAGACAGGAAGGAAGAGAGAGAACGGAGCCATTAAAATTCTTGATGAGGAGCCTGGTGTTCTCCCTGCTCAATCTGTACACCTCCTGTCTCCAGGCAGGTTGGAGCTACCATCACACCACGCTACACAAACAGACAAGCTGCCACCCCTGGCACCGCCACACAATTTGGTGTGCCATCACAGCCGGCATGTTCCCAGAGCTTGTTTTTCATATTTGTGTGGCAACATGAGGGACTTCTGCATAGTTCGATTTCACGTGTTTATATTTAACTCATTTTTTTTTAATTGTCTTAAGCTTTGAATGTTGGCAGAGAGCTGTTGTCAAGGAAAATTTAGCTCCTAAATATACAAATTGTGTATCTTTGCTCAGCGTGATAGTGGAGCCTCTGGTCATGCAACAGCAGAGTCTCAATAGAGTCCCTCTGCAGACCACTGACTGAGCTAATTCACACATATCTCGCCGTATTACAAGAAAGATCTCGGGTTTTGCTGGTTGTGTGGGTGATGCACATATTCTCTCTGGGCTGCACGTCTTTCAATCACGTGTTTATTCTCAGGATGACACATTTTCTCCTCTGTAGTGAGTTATACTGCTGCAGATGCGGAGCAAAGTACAGACAGTTATATGAGCAGTGAGAGCACATCTCTGCTGGTATCACCCTGCAGACAGGATGTGGGGGCGGAGGAGGTGGTTTCAGTTTGACTGATTTATCTCTTCAGTCACACCTTTTCTTTGGATTATCAACTCCCCAAAAAACACCCAGTCTCCAGGTGAAATTCTGCACGCAGAATAAACTCAGGTATTTACAGTGCGGCTGGCGAGAACTCCAACCATGAGGTTTTTTTTCGAATGCATTGTTTGAGGGAAAGTACACTGTGTAAGAGAGATGGAAGATGAGGATGAGGGGGTGGGTGGGTGGTGTTACCCGCTGTTGATTGGTGCACCCAACCTAGACACACGATAGAGCGTGGGAGGCTTTATGGGCTGGAAAGGGTCTATGCTCCACTGAGGTGTGTGGGCATCACTGACTTTGAGACTCAGTGGAATTAATCCACAGAAAAAGAGGGGAGAGATGTGGTCAGCAGCAGCAGTAGCAGTGGTCTTAATCACACAGAGGCCCATGTGTGTATGTGTGTGTGTGTGTGTGTGTGTGTGTGTGTACGTCCCTTTTCCTCCATGCCAAGCCCCAGAAGGCAGGCTGAAGGGCCATGTGATGCCACCCACTCTCGAGTGCAGTGCATGGCAGGGCTGGCGCTAGATCCTGCGGAGCGGGTGGGATGAGCTCAGATATTGGAGGCTGGCACTGGCTGAGAACAAGGCTTAGCTATGGGAGGTGGGGGGTGGAGGGATGGGGGGGTTGGCATTACCACTCACTGCAGCAGAGGCATCAAAGGCACCAACCTGCTTAAAACACAACAGCACTATAAATGCTGTCAGGTGGAGTGCCTTGCAATCTAGAAAATGAGAATAGTTGTTGAGAATAGTGCAAAGAGGATCTAAATATTCAATTTATATACCCTCAGATATGCATTATTGTCCCACATTTTAATTCCATCGTCTTAATGAGACAACTGCTTACCATAAAAATCAATATTTATGAACTACTGTGTTGCATTAAGGCCTTTAATGGGTTCCTATTATATGAGGACAGAGATGCATCTGAAAGGGAAATAAACAGCAATTCACATTCACTGTATCGTGGTGTTTCTTCTGAGTCTTGGTTTAAAACAAGTTGAGTGAATTTGACAACATGGAGGCTGTGTTGAGAGGATGAGAGGCCTGCCAAACAACTGCTGTATGCCTGATAGAGCTCTTTGTTGCTTTGAAAAGCAAAGGGAGGTCCCTCATGCAAATTCAAAAGGAAATTCTGAGAAAAGGGGATCCAAGAAAGAAGACAATGCGCTCTGTCTCATTCAGTACTTGTTATGGAGGACGCAGGATTCAAGAGCTCGGGATACATTGCTGGGAAGAAAGAGGCCCTCATGTACCATTGTGTGACTAACATTAGGCATCATGTGGAGATGTAATTCATCCTCAGCAAGTTGTTCCATATTATTAGCAGCCGCAGTCGTGACCTGAAGCATGGGGCAACAGTTGGAGGAGTGAGTCCAACCCACATCGTTGTCTCTAGCAGCCGAGTCACGAGACTATACTCTCAGTCAGAAGTATGTAATTCATCCCACACACTACAGCCTGCTGCCCACGGCGCAACCTTCTCCACACTCTCACTCCACCAACTCACACAGCTGCTACTGCACAGACTGTGGAGTCTTGAAAAAGCAAAGGCTAATTTTACCTCGTACTTTTTATTGGAAAAGA